GCCATCTCTTGTTCGCGGGCAATTGGCCTGTTCGCTCCAAACAATAGCATGGGTCTATCTACATGTATTTAGTCAATGTATCTTTCTATCAAGGAGGCCGTGATTCACACCATATTTAGTTGGCGAACATTTCAACAGAGGGTGCTTTATATCGTTTCATTTTGAAACATTACAGATTCCTATCTATATAACAATAATATAATATTACTTTATCTATGAAACAGTGCAAATAGACGAAAAAATCCAACGTTTCCGATAGAAATGAGATGGACAGGTTTCTTGAAGAGGCTACCGACGAATCCTATTTACTTCTTGAGGTATTATAAGAGTATTACATATATATCTTTTACCAGTCATTCACAGCGTCAACCTATTTTTTTTTCAAATTACTTCGAAAACATGACAAGTGGTCTCCGAGATTCTTTAAACTTGTGATGTCACTCCCGTCTGACGTCAGCTACAGCACCGGCAGCTAGATTTAATCGGGGCAAGGCCGTGGATCTTTATTATTTGGGGTGGTGACAATATTTTGGGCGCCAGTCGACAGAATGTCGACGAGAAAATGAAAAAAATAAAGTTTAGACGAAGAGGGAAGAAGAGGTAGTTGAATGACAGAAACAACACCTACTCGCTGATATGTATATAATTTTGAAACTGAATTTCCGGAATGGCTTACTCTAAATAGGCAATGACATGACGCTTAACCTTGTAACGACCCTTAAGGTTTACAAAGTAGGGTAAAAACAATCTGTACCTTGATTCTTGATTACCTTATGCGCTTACGCCACGAAAACTGATATTCCCAATGCCGCCACTCTTGTATGTTATAATAAATTTCTTAACTGATAATAAATACTGGGATCGAAACTATAAATAGGTAAGTGCCTTCTAAAATGCTCCTAAATGATTAACGTACCTACTAACAATTATTGATTAAAGCTACGAATTAATAACTACTAAGCAAAACCATAACTTAACAATTATAACAATTATAACAATCACTTTTTGTGGACCTCTTTGCCACCATAAACCATAAATTGTACAATAAATACCTCCAAATAGTTGTTAGGGGATGGTATCTCGGGCTAATCGCAAAAAAAAAAGGCAGCTACCACATCCCACGGCTATTTCAAAATTGACTCTTGACTCCAGAGTTTGGTAGTGAGTCACCAATATGACACCAATGACAGCACCAAGATATCAGACGTACCATCGGCCCATAAGATTCGGGATCTCAACGGAACCAGTCCACACAAAAGCAGGGGTGTATAGCAGCAACACTATGATGGTTCACACTCTGACTTCATGGCCAAAATTACACCAAATGAGACATAAAAAAAAAGGACCTAGAGAATTCCCAATGATTAGAAATCTATTTTAATTTTACCAAATAAAAATGTTACCTAGGTGTTATTGGTCCTTTTTAATCACTTAATTTTAGTGTGTAATAATTGTAAGGGGGTATTATTAATAAAATTCAGTCCACCGAATTACTCGCCACCATTTTTAAATCTTTATCAGAACCCCTCTCTTTTTGTGTGTCTTTTTCCGCTGATCCTCGCGCCTTATCAATTACACGGCCAAGCGTCATGTCAGTAAAAAAGAAGCGCAAGAATTTGAAATTAGTAACAATTACTTCGTGATTGTTACAAACTACTTCAAAAACCAAACAGAAAGGGCCCCCGAGATTCTTTCAGGCTACTTCAAAAACAAATTCAAATTTTCGACTTTTTTTTGTAATTTTCCTAAAATTTTAAATTTTTTAACTTTTTAATTTGTCAGTTTCTGAATTTTTACATTTTTTTTTTATTTCACAAATTTGTAATTACTCAATCTTTAAATTTTACAATGCAATTGTTCAGTTTTCGTCCTTCGTCCTTTTCGTCCCTTTAGTCCTGTTCGTCCTTTCTCGTCCTTCTTCGTCCTTTTTCGTCCTTCTCGTTCTTTTCGTCGATTTTGGTCCTTTTTCATATTCTTCGTCCTTTTCGTCCTTCGTCCTTTTTCCTTTTTCGTTCTTTTCGCCCTTTTTCGTTCTTCTTCGTCCTTTTTCGTGTTTCTCGTCCCTTTTTGGTCCCTTTCGTCGTTTTTCGTATTTTTCGTCTCTGTTCGTATTTTTCGTCCTTTTTCGTCCTTACTCGTATTTTTCGTCCTTCTTCGTCCTTTATCGTCCTTTTGCGTCCTTTTTCGTATTTTTCGTCCTTCGTTCTTCGATCTTCATCCTTTTTCGTATTCTTCGTCCTTCTCATCCTTTTTCGTCCTTTTCGTTCTTTTTCGTCCTTCTCGTCCTTTTTCGTCCTTCTTGGTCTTTTTTCGTATTTTCCGTCCGTCATCCTTTTTCGTTCTTTTCATCCTTTTTCGTTCTTCTTCGTCCTTTTTCGTGTTTCTCGTCCTTTTTGTATTTTTTCGTATTTTTCGTTCTTCGTCTTTTTCATCCTTTTTCGTCCACTTTCGTCCCCTTTCGTCCTTTTTCGTATTTTTCGTCCTTCTTCGTCCTTTGTCCTTTTCCGTCCTTTTTCGTATTTTTCGGCATTTTCATCCTTTTTCGCCCTTTTCGTGATAGCTCGTTTTTTTTCGTCCTTCTTCGTCCTTTTTCGTGTTTTTCGTCCTTTTTCGTATTTTTCGGCCTCTTCGTCCTGCTTCATCCTTTTCGTCCTTTTTCGTCCTTTTTCGTTCCTTTTCGTATTTTTCGTCCTTTTTCGTCCTTGTTCGTGTTTTTCGTCCTTTTTCGTCCTTATTCGTATTTTTCGTCCTTGTGCGTCCTTTTGCGTCTTTTTTCGTATTTTTCGTCCTTCGCACTTCGTCCTTCGTCCTTTTTCGTCCTTCTTCGTCCTTTTCGTCCTTCTTCGTCCTTTTTCGCTCTTTTTCGTCCTTTTTCGTATTTTTCGTCCTTCGTCCTTGTTCGTCCTTTTCCTCCTTTTTGGCCCTTTTTCGTCCTATTTCATATTTTTCGTCCTCTTTCGTCGATTTTTGAGTTTTTCGTTTATAGTTACCATTCAATTTTTCAGATTCTTGTTTTTTTTTATCTTTCAATTTTGTAGTTTCCGATTTTAAGCTCTTCGAAATTAAAAATTTTGATTTTTCAATTTCCAATTTTTCAGTTTCTTGCTTTTCAGTTTTTTGATTTTCCAAACTTTTGAATTATTTAATTTCTCCATTTTTAAATTTTGCTAATTTTCGACTTTTTGATTCTTCGATTTATCGATTGTTCGAGTTCTCGATGTTTCGAATTCACGATTTTTCAATTTTCGATTCTTTAAATTTTCAAGTTTTTGATTTTTCAATTTCTAGGTTTTTGAAATTTTCAACTTTGAATTTATCAGTTTTTCAATGTTTTAATTATTCGATTTTTCAGTAATTCGCTTTGAAGTTTTCGAAATTTCAACTTTTAATTGAATTTCTAAGTTTTTAACTTTTGAATTAGTCATTTTCTAAATTCTTACATTTTTTTTTAATTTACCACAAATTTGCAATTATGTACTCAATATTTATATTTTGCAACGCAATTTTTCAGATTCTGGATTTTTTTTACAATTTTTTCATTTTTCGATTTTTGGTTTTTATTTTTCAGAGAGATTTTAAGCTCTTCGAATTTAAAAATTTTGATTTTTCAATTTCTAATTTTTTACAATTTCTCGGTTTCTTGCTTTTTACTTTTTCGATTTTCAAAAACATGAATTATTTAATTTCTCTATTTTTAAATTTTGCAAATTTTTGACTTTTTGATTTTTCGATTTATCGAATTTTCGAGTTCTCGATGTTTCGAATTCACGATTTTTCAACTTCTCGATTATTCAATCGATTCGTTAAATTTTCATTTTTTTTATTTTTCAATTATTCGGTTTGAAGTTTTCGAAATTTCAACTTTTAATTAATTTCCTAAATTTTTTAACTTTTGACTTAGTCAGTTTCTAAATTCTTGAATTTTTTAATTTCACAAATTTGCAATTACTCAATATTTAACTTTTACAACGCAATTTTTCAATTTTTCAGACTCTCCATTTTAATTTAACAATTTTCTAATTTTGCGATTTTTGAGTTTTTTGTTTATATTTACCATTCAATTTTTCAGATTTTTGATTCTTAATTTTTATTTTTCAATTTTATAGTTTCATGATTTTAAGCTTTTTGGTTTTAAAAATTTTGATTTTGCAATTTTTAATTTTTTACAGTTTTTCCTTTTCTTGCTTTTCAGTTTTTCAATTTACAGTTTTTTGATGTTCAAAAACTTTTGAATTATTTAATCTCTCCATTTTTAAATTTTGCAAATTTCTGCCTTTTTGATTTTTCGATTTATCGATTTTTCATTTTTGAATTTGTCAGTTTCTGGATTTTTGCATTTTTTTTTAATTCCATAGATTTGCAATTACTCAATCTTTAAATTTTATAACGCAATTTTTCAAATTTTCAAGGATTTTTTATTTAAGAATTTTTTAATTTCCGATTTTTGAGTTTTTCGTTTATACATAGTTACCATTCAGTTTTTCAGACTCTTGATTTTTATTTTTAATTTTGTAGTTTCATGATTTTAAGCTTCTTCGATTTTAAAAATTTGATTTTTCAATTTCCAATTTTTACAGTTTTTCGGTTTCTTGCTTTTTAGTTTTTCATTTTACAGTTTTTTGATTTTCAAAAACTTTTGCATTATTTAATCTCTCCATTTTTAAATTTTGCAAATGTTTCTATTTCACGATTTTTCAACTTTTCGATTATTCAATCGATTCTTTAAAATTCCAGTTTTTTGATTTTACAATTGTTATGTGTACTTTACAATTTTTGAAACCATTTTCTGCATCAATCATTTTATTGTACTACGAAATTTTTAACAATTCTGCACAAAGGTTAAACAGTTAAAATCAACAGATGTAACTAATATTTCCGTGGGAAATAATCCATGTATTGACTAACACTGTTTTAAGCTTTTCAATATGCCAGTATACCTAGTTCAAAAATAATAGTAACAATAATAACAACTTGTAGGTATATTTTACTTTTAAGCCCCTGCAGATACATTTATGTATAACTGTAAACATTACAAAACACTCTAAAACTAATTTTACTATTTTTTACGACTAAATTTTTAACGGTCTTAGCATCATCCTAGCCTCTTTCAGACTGTAATTGTAGCCATGGAACGTACCCCACTTCACACTAGATTTATGTTTGTTTTCATCACCGGATGTGTGATAATTCCCTAAATATTTACCCGTAAGAAGGGAGTGGTAGCACTGATGGAACCACCAACCACTGGCTAAAAAAAATTTATTTAATAACACCCAACTGATCTCCACACAACCCACCAAAATGGACTGCGCACGATATATTTTTCATCTTGTCTTGATCTCTATCAGCAGTACTAAATTTAACACCGACGTGAGAACTAAACGAATCTCCAGCATTACCACGGTATTTGCCCACACTGTGAATAACATACCCCTCGACTTCTCTCCCAATGGTAAAATTGTTATACCGAGCGTACACTCTGCGCTCGTCCCAGTCTACCAGTTCGATTAACAGCTCAGTAGGTTTGCTATCTGTACAAACAAACAAAAACAACTCCAACAATAAATAAACATAACCGAACCTTACTTGTTAATTCGTAAATATGCTGAAGACCTAGCCAATGTTCCTTCGCCAGTTTTCCAAAACCGTGCTTGTAGCTAGTCCAATTTAAGTAAAAATTTTCACTACCATCGACTCTGTTCAGAATCCTGGTCCATCCGCCCTTCATCGTGACCATGTCACACCAAACCAGAAATGGATTGTAGGCGAGTATCGGCTGGATTCGGTAAACCCCAGACACGTTCTTGCCCATGTCTTTGATTTGTTTACAGTCCGCCGGGAGTTGCTTATTTTGTTCTATTTCTAGCGACAGTCTTCTTTCGCTTTTTATTAATTCGTCTTGGAGTGTCTTCTTCATTATTTCTTCCAAGCGTTTGAGTTTGTTATCAAGCGTGCTATCCACACCCCGCACGATATCTTTTTTAAGGGTGTTCACGGTTTCGGTTAAGGTGGTTAATTTTGCCCCGATTTCTATCAGCGGCGCTAAATCGACGATCGAGTGCTAAAACGAGAAAAGTAATTTTCTGTAATTGTATTAAATTACTTACGTCTTTGTTTGGGGCTTCTGTGAGTAAGCTGTATACGGGAAAAAGTAAAAGAATTAGTGGTAGCAGTTTTTGCTGCATATTTTCATTCACTTAAAGCACGAAAAACCAAGAATATTAGTGTGAACGACGCACTTCGCGGATTCGCACTGTTTAAATTTTTTGCTTTGGTTTAATAATTCAAGGTGAACCAGAAAGTGACCTCATGTTCCAGGTATACATACCATTTGCTTTAGCCTGTTTTGATTAAGACCACCACATGTATGTGTTGCGTTAATCAAGTACAAGAAAAATATTGATAACAGAATTTGTAATATCTCGGTAGTAATGAGCAACATTTTTTTATTTTAGTAGAATAGATACATTGTTTTAAAAGTGTAGTTTTACATCGAAATTAAAAATTTATGACAATAGTAAGATGGTGTTTTTAATTATTATTGTTCCTCTGCACCAAATGTCCAGTGAATTTCATAGGTAGCCAGTGACAGTCGTCCGGTGCATTCCCGGTTTTATTATTGGCTAAATTTGGGCGTTCTCTATTGGTTGACTGTTTCAGACATCCGTATTTGGCGCTGACGAACCAGTAGTAGCAGCTGGAGTACACTAAGCAAACTAATTGGTAACATCCTCAAGGCTGGCGTCCAGATTATGTTAAATAATAATTTTAGGTTAGAATTTCCGTGCTTGTGTTAATGTTTATTATTTATTTTGTTTTTTATCGAGATAAGAAAAAGCAACTAAACTTATTAGATAACATACATAAAAAATTATTGGTAGGTATCTTAATTTGATAAAAAATACAATGATATCTTAAATCATTTAAAGTATTCTGAAAAATATTTAGGAAAAATCTTGTTCTAAACATTTCACGAAAAACAGTGTTCAAAAATTATGCTCATTCGGTATGTCGTCGCCTGAGAACTTGTTTGATCTATGGACCAGAGCGCACTCAGGCCAATATCGTCTCTAAGCGATTTATGATTTACCTATCTATAAGCCGAGTTTCCTTAGAGCTGATCTGATACATCTGGTTGATGAAAAATTTACGTTTCAGAATGTATTATCAAATGGTAAACGCTCACCAAAATTTGTTTTTACCTTAGGCGTCAAGATTTTTGGAAAAAAAAATTCTAAATTTTGACGTTTCTAAATTTTCAATTTTCCTATGTTTCGACTTTCCAAAGTTTCGATTTTTCCCTTCTTCAATTTTTCGATTTTTCAGGTTTTTGATTTTTCAATTTTTCAATTTTTTAAGCTTGCGATTTTTCGACTTTGCCGTTTTAATTTTTCGATGTCTCAATTTTCCAATGTTTTAATTTCTCAATTTTTTGGATATTTCTTTGAGTTTTGGGATTTTTCAACATTTAGATTTTTCGACTTCTCGATTTTTGGATTCCTGGAGTTTTTGATTTCTCGTTTTTAAATTTTCGGAGTTTCAATTTTTCGTTAAACTCTAGATTTTTCAAATTTTTGACAGTTTTATAAGATTTTAATTTCCCAATTTTTCAAATTTTCGAGTTTTCAGTTCTTCTTTATTTCAGTTTTTCAATTTTTACACTTTTTAAATTTTGAAGTTTCGATCTCTCGATTTGTCGATTTTTCAGTCTTTCGAATTTTAAATTTTAGATTTTCGAATTTGTATTTTTTGATTTTTAGATGTTTTGGATTTCTCGATTTTTCACTTTTCCGATATTTTAATTGTTCAATATTTTAAATTTTAAATTTTTCGATTTCTCGATTTTTTTATTTTTCTGTTCTTCAAACGTTTGAGGTTGCAAAATTTTCAGTTTTCACATTTCTCAATTACCTAATCTATTTTTGAATTTCCCATTTTTCGACTTCTCAAAGTTTCGATTTTTGGACTTCGCTTTTTTGGTTTTTTAATTTTCCGAATTTTGTAATTTTCAAATTTTCAATTTCTTGAGATCTCGATTTATTGAAAATCGAATGTTTCGATGTTTTGATTGTTCAATCTCGATTTATCAACTTTTTCATTTTTAACTTTTCGATTTCTCGATTTTGACTTATTTATAGATACATTGGTATATTTCGAAACATCGAAAAATTGGAAAATCGAAAAATTAAAACATAATTTTTAATATCGAAAATTTAAAAATTGAAAAGTTAAAATATCGAAAAGTTGAAAAATTCAGAAATCGAAGTATAAACAGAAAAACGTAAAGTTTTAAAAACGAAAAATTGAAAATCAGAAAAGTAAACAGTCGAGAAATCGAAAAATCGAAAAGTCGAAATACCAAAAAAATCCCCCAAAAAAATTGAAAATCGAAAAACGACAAAATCACAAACTTGAACAGAAGGAATGAATTCGCCGAAGGATCTTATTTGAGTCAGAATTTTTCTTACTTTAATGTTTAATTGTCAGCATGTAGGTACACTGATAATGGTTGGTTATTTGCTTTGAATATACATATTTCATATTGTCCGTATGTCTGTGGACGGTCCTTCCTTGGAATTTGCACCCCCATGGCGCAAGTGATTCGAGGTGTCATTTATACCACTGGTTTTTAATATATAGGTAGAGGTTATCAGAAAACACCAATTTTTTATAAAGAACCTACTTCAACGGCGAGGGAAGTTCTATTGAACTAATCTTGGACCATTTTTTTTAACAACCAATTATAAATAAAGTTGTTGAAAATTATACTTTAGTGTTATAGATAAGATTATGAAAATTATACTTTAATGTTATAGATAAGATTACATAGGTAACTTGTTGTGCAGTTACTAACGCAAAATTCACTTATTTCGCTCGTGATCAGGAGGTCGATTCTCGAACTCGTTCGCAAAGATGCGAGTACGAATAGATGCGCATGCCAAGATGCTATTCGAAACGAACATCCGTCTTCTTGAACGAGATTCAATGCGAATAGCAACTCGATGCGCATACGAAGGCCTCTGTTCGAGTGAGGATATGGCAACAGTGGAAAAATACAGAGGATATTTGAATGCGATGGTTGGCAGAACTCACGCGGGGTGAGTTTGAATCCAAGAAGGACTATTTTAATCTGTTACCTCCAAATTTATTAAGCAGCAAAACACGTATTAGCAGGATTGGCTCGATTTAAATTATTGCTTTGAAGTATTATTGTTTTTTTTTAAGTTTTCTTTACAGTTTGGAATATGTAATGCATATTACGGCCCTTTTAATGGAAATTTATATCAAAATAAGTTGAACTTTAACTAGAATATAATATTTCCAACAAAATGGAACGACAATAATTCTTTTAAATTGTATTTTAAAGATTATAGGAGTGAATATTATATTAATAACACTATCAATTCCTTTTTTGCAATGTAAATTACAATAAATTCTCTTTATTGTTCAAAACTAAGAAGTACGACTCAAGGATGACATTAAGTCGGATACTTACTATTTTAATTAGGATTTTAATTCCAGATAATTGACATACTAAAAAAACAAAAAAATCGTGATTAAAAAAAATTGTTGAGTTTACGATTTTATGCAACCCTACGTATTTAATACAAATTCTTGTGATTTTTTTACAATGATGCAGATACAAACTTAATGTTTATTTTTGAGTGGGACCACCACAGCCAGCAGGTATTTGCATATTAATACCTTTATTACTGCGTGTACTCTCCTAGTTTATAGAAAATTCTTAGAATTTGGTTACCCGATGTTTATTCAGGTATACTTATGCATACCATTACAACCGTTTTGTACAGTAAATGATCTTTCAGAATTCATTTTAGTTTTTATTTTTGAAACAACTTCACGTATACGTATTTGAAATGTTCGCAGTAGCTAGCCAAAATATCGCAATAGTGCGTTGTTTCTTCATACATATGTAGCATGTAGCTATATAGTATGTGTAAGTACTACACAGAAATCCGCTGTTTCAATTTAAAATTTTTAAATTTGTATCACAATGTAAATGAAATTATAAAATTCCCATAATCAAATTGATACATTACAATTTGTGTATTTTTGGAATGGTAACCCTTTCTATTAATGTATATTAACAAATACAGCAGATTAAAGATATTATATTGACGTTAACATAGAACGACCAAAACCAAACAGAGTTTTAGGTTAGCTTTCACCACTCGCAAACCAAAATGCGATCGCATCTACCCACTCGTAACTTGACGTTCGTATACGCTCGAACATTTGCGTGTGCGCGCGGTTCGAGAATACCGAATCTTCAAAACCGCTCGAAAATTGGCCACTTGCGTATGCGGAACTTATTCGAACGAGTTCGAGAATCGACCCCCAGGTGTTAATTTGGTTTAAAAGTAGATAGGCATTAAAAAAACTTGGACAATGGTAAGCACTTATTTATATCTTAAGTTGAAAGAAAGTACAATGATATCTTAAATCATTACAAGTAAGTATTCTAAAAAATATTTAGAAAAAATCTTATTCTAAACATTTCACGAAAAACAGTATCCAAAAATGGCGCTCATTCGGTATTTGTGAACATTATTAAAAATTAAACCTCATTCTGTTAAGTCAAATCGGTATTTTTTAGGAAAAACAATAGTCTAAAGTTATTTAGTCAGAACTTCCCTTGCCCCTGAAGTAGAGGCGAACAAATACTGATCAGCGAAAATAAAAAAATTAAATATAATAACTTTATTTTTATTTTTTTAATCATATTTTTTATCATTCTTGTGAAGTTAGTTTGAAATAAAGGGTTTGATTTATCCCCAGAGCCAACTTTTCAAACTATTTAAGTAGTTACTACCAGATATTGTTGGCATTATAGTAAAACATCTAAACATGAAATTTCTGCTAATGTTAGTTGTCATCTTTTATTCTTATATATAACTCAGAGATTTTTGAGAACACTAGCAGGCAGAATAGGAATTACAAACTTAAGTCTTTGTCGTACATACGCCTTTATACAATAATGATAAAGTAAGAATTATAATATTCAGAACCCTTTGTTCGATTGTGGTTTAATTAATAATTTTAGTCCTCTGTTTTGAGAAGAGAAACTCATTCAAATCAAACTAATTTCTATGTGACATTCTTTCGATGTATAAACATAAACAATCGAAATTCAGCATGCACACTGATAATAAATAATACACTCATTTCCGTTAGTTATTTGCTTTGAATATATTTTATATTGTCCGTAGGTCTGCGGACATCACCCCTTTGGCGCCCCCGAGACTAACTTGTTTTTACCATATACCTAAAGGTTATCAAAAAACAAACATTTTTTATAATTTTTCCAAAAAAGCGGGATAATAATAATAATAATAATAATAACATTTATTGCCCAACAGTGTACACCATTTACAGGACAATACATTGTATAATACCTACATTCTGCATAGTATAATGCA